TAGTTCTGTTATTACTATTAATACTACCAATTAATACTACTAACACTATTACTACTATGACTATTGTTAGCAAATATCGTGCCAACGCATGCGTTTTGCTGCCCCTGGTGACCCGAGCGTTGGAGTCTCTTGGATCCGCGATACGAGGTGCAGCCCCAAAGCTCGGATCGATACTACGCGGGAGTTTGCGAAGATAGGGGACCTAATATACGGTTGATGATATACATCCTGCATTACCTTGAGGACCCTAAACTATGGAAAATATGGTATATTCCTTATGATGGGTAATGCAGGATTTATACCATCATCCGTAGTACCTGTCCTTACTAGAAGGACCGGAAAATAAGGCACCCTTAACTGTCGGAAACCCCCAAGGCACTGTGCTTCGGGAATTAGCCGCTCGGTGTCCGTGTGCATCGCCTGGCTCATGCTCTCCAAGGACCGTGACCCAGTGGAGGGTTGCCAGATATCAGTTAGGGTCCTTTTGCAATAGAGGTACGTTGGGAGCGAACGCGTTTTCGGAGCAACTCAAACTAGGTAGAGCCTGCTACGTTGTCCTCGACGTCTCTGCTCTAAGCTATGGCACCCGCTGCTATCTATAGCTGTCGTCGCAGTAGATATCGTTGTTGCAGCAGTGGTGGCAGCACGAGTCGTCGTTGGTTTAGTCGTAGTCTTATTCCTAGTAGTAGCAGTAGTAGTAGTAGCAGCAGTAGTAGTAGTAGTAGCAGCAGCAGGAGTAGTAGTAGTAGTAGTAGTAGTAGTAGTAGTAGTAGTAGTAGTAGTAGTAGTAGTAGGTAGTAGTAGTAGTAGTAGTAGTAGTAGTAGTAGTAGTAGTAGTAGTAGTAGTAGTAGTAGTAGTAGTAGTAGTAGTAGTAGTAGTAGTAGTCGTATTAGGAGTAGTAGTAGTAGTAGTAGTAGTAGTAGTAGTAGTAGTAGTAGTAGTAGTAGTATATAGTAATAGTAGTAGTAGTAGTAGTAGTAGTAGTAGTAGTAGTAGTAGTAGTAGTAGTAGTAGTAGTAGTAGTAGTAGTAGTAGTAGTAGTATATAGTAGTAGTATATAGTAGTAGTATATAGTAGTAGCAGTAGTAGTAGTAGTAGTAGTAGAAGTAGTAGTAGTAGTAGTAGTAGTAGTAGTAGTAGTAGAAGTAGGGGAGGTTGCCGGCTGTGCTGCTGGTGATGCAGTTGTACTCCCCGTGACTCCGATACTCTAAAGTGTTCGTCCATTCGACACAGTGATGCTACTAAGCTGCTACTATTAACATTGATATCTTGCAACAGTGCTAGTATGTACGTTTACTCCAGACACACGACATGCCCAAAACTCGAAATCCCACTGATAAGTCCTCTGAAGCCCTCCTTACATCCCAACATTCCAAGATACTAGGCTAGCTCTTCCTTAAGTATGTCCGTGAGTCTTGTCGGCACAGACCCCTCAATCTCTAAAGCCTACTTGGGGGGTCGGGGACTTAGTAAGTAGCTAGTAAGTAGACTTATAAGTACCCTAAAAGGGACCCTAATTGGGGTTATGGTACTTATAAGTCCCTAAAATGACCAGTTACTAAGTCCCCCGACTCTCCAAGTAAACTCTTAATCCTAAGCCCTGGGCCCCTAAACCCTAAACCCTCTCCCTTGCATTCTCAGCTTCAGGAGCTGAGTCTGGCCGCGGCGCACGCTAGAGTGACCCGGTTTCTACTACTTTGGGGTTTAGGGTCGGGCTCGTGGGCATTTGTGGGGTTTAGGGTTTAGAGGACAGAAGACTTTGGCTTTGGATATGCACGGCTTTAGGGGTTTGAGGGCATACGACTTCGGCTTGAAACCTCACCTGTCCTCGGGGGCGTTCCGTGCTGAAAAAAGCGCTGTTTCAGACGCATGGTCTACATTTCCACTGCATGGACCCTGCCCGAGGGTTCTGCGACCGTGGTCGGACTTCCAATGCCTTTCTTTCAGAAGCCCTCCAGTCTATCCCTAAAAGGAGCACTGCGTGTTGAGGCCTGCAACCCCTAACCCTGCAACATATCATCGCGCGGCTAAAACTCTGAATGGTATGCGAGCCCCTCTCGAATTCCCACAAGAAGGCACCTCATGATGAGGAACTAGGAATTTGGAGAGCATCCTCCCCTGCCCTATCCCAATATCAAGCCGATAGAAACAGCCTTATCCTTTTTCATGGTTCCCCCAAAAGAACAAACAGACCGCCTAGTAGACCTTCTGAAATAATTCCTATAGACCCCTGAACCCTAGACCCTAAAATGCGGAACCCTAAACCCTAAACGCTAAAAGCCTTCTTGCTGCTTCTGTGGCTGTACGGCCGAAAAGGAGCGAACCAATACAATTGACCCCAACACGGAGCTCCAGAGTAGACTAGGCTTGAACCCCAAACTCCTAACAGGGGCTCGATGCCCCCCAGACACTTGCCACAACAAACAGAGCCACGACAAAACGAAACCCTGAAATGCAGGAAGGAGCTCACAACTGAACCTCGAAGAGTTTAGGGTTTAGGGTCTAGGGGTTCAGGGTTTAGGGGCTGAACCTCGAAGTTGTATGCCCGAACACAAAAGCCAAGAGCTCGAAGCTGCGTCTAAGAATCCGAACCTCAAGCTGCACCCGGATCCAGAGATCCTCGGATCTACCCCACAAAAACCTAAGGTAAAGAAGGCGAGGCCGCAGGCCTGATGGAGCCTTGGGGAACCAGGGGGCCTTGCATGATGCTGAAGTTGCTTTCAAGCTTCTGAAGAGCCACTAGGACCTAGAGTAGGCCCTTATTCCCTTTTTTTGGGGGGGGTTCTGGTTCCCTTATAAACCCCTTTAAACCAACAAGGGCACCTTTTATTCCTAGGTTACTCTTGGGTCTAGAAGAGCCATGATATTTGCGACAGTATGCCATTAGTCTCTGCCTACAGCAGCCAGAAGTCTAGTACAGTGGTTACTTTGCAGCAATAGCACATGCAAACATACATACATACATACATACATACATACATACATACACACACATACATACATACATACATGCATACACATACATACATACATACATACATACATACACACACATAACTAGACATGTAAATACCTGTGTGTGTGTATGTGTATACACACATATATATATATATATATATATGTATATATATATATATATAATGTGTGTGTGTGTGCACATATAGATCAGCATTGTTTGTAAGCCCTCCCCCAAACTCAGCTCCCACGAGGAACCCTTACAGTAACCTTTGTAGTACCCTTCTACTATCCATACAGTATCCTTGTCATAGCCCTTCCAGCACCCTTATAATGCCCACATCACTTGGATTGTCCCAGACACCTGAACCCCGACAGGCCATGCCCAACCACGGATTTCTGCAGTCGCTAGCACTCCTGGAAAGCGATGCTGGCTTGCATGCTTTCGGGTTGGGGGTGTAGGGTCCAGGGTTTCGAGATTCGGGTCAGCAGTAAGGGTCTGTCGTTTGGCCGTTGCTCCGCGAAGTGTGAAAGCGTTGTGAGGAGGCGGCCATGATTGCTATCAGAATGCCATTGTCAGCGTGCCGCAGTCGTCCTCGCAGTGAGCTAGAGGTCGTTGCAGTAGTGCTGGTAGGCTTGGTGGTTTAGTCACGTCAGTCTTAGACTTAGAACTACAGAGTAGCGCTCGTTACGGAGCCCCGGCCGATGTCTTGTTATTACAAGCTCCGTAACCACACTATGAGGGAGTTTCCGAAAAGAAGGGTCCCTACTGTAGTACCCTAAATACTAGGATCTTTACTATAAGGACCCCAAATAAGGCACCCCGAATTTTCGGAAACTCCTATGAGAGTCGCTGACCCTCATAATCACACTCTACGGGCCTTGACACCAGCTGCTCTCGCCTTGACCCTCTGCCAGCCCGAAGCCCCCGGCCCCCAAGCTTCAGTCCCAGTTTCCGAAGCAGGAACATGAAACCAAAGAGCATGTTCGAAGTCTTAAAATCACATCCCTAACCTAAGCAAGTGCAGCCAGCCTTGCAAAATCTACAACCTCGCGCAGGTACAAGATACTCGCTATACTGAGCACTTGCAGGAGTCAGGGTGACTGGCAAGCATGCGCTCCACATAACGAACCAAACGAAAGCCTACAGATGTCTGAAATATGAGGCTGGCTGTGCTTGCCAACTTTGGACCACAACTCCATGAAATGCGCAGGAACACGACATCCGATTTGTGTATCGTACCACGGTCAATTAAGCTAGGCTGTGCTGTGTTGTGCTATTCAGCAGCCCTGAAGCCCTAAAACCAAAGCCTCAGACCCTAAACCAAGCTGAATATCCACCCTAAACCCTCCCTAAACCCTAAACCCTAAACCCTATATCCCCAACACCCGAAGCCCGTAGCTCGAAACCCAAGAAGCCACAGCCGAGGAGAATCGGGATATTGAAAGCGCGCACAAGCTGCCTTTCGGCTTGCAGATGCCAAGCGTCTACTTGAAGGATCATGGGACTTAGTAAGTAGGTTATAATTGGGGTTATAAGTCCCCTAAGTGGGGTTAACCTACTTATAACCTTACTAAGTCCCATGAGCCTTTAAGTACGGTTCAGGGTTTAGGGCTTCATGTCGGAGGCTTCAAAAGGTGGGATGAAGGTAGGTAGGAGTAAGGATCCCTTAGATGAGGATTCTTATTTGGGAATATCCCACCTACCTTCATCCCACCTTTTTAGGCCTCCGATCATGGTTTACGTTGTTGGAGATCTCAGTTGGTTTGGACTCTTAGCTCGTGAGAACTTAAGACTTGGAATAACAACACTGACTGTGACCTCGCCTCCACGGTACCCTCCCACCATTACGTACTAACGCTCCTTGAACTACTGCAATGTGTCTTTCGTGGATGTATAATTTTAGACTGGGTGTTGATGATTTTGAGGCTTGTAGAGTTAAGGGGTTTAGGAGGGTCTGTTATTTCTGATTTTTGGTTTTCTGCGCTCAGGCTACGCTTTCCAGACATTACATCGTTGACAACTCCGCGACAAAGAGCTGAGGTGGTTGAAAGCGAATGAGGTGAGCAAAGACTGCCGTGATCGGGTCGTGCTGAAGATGCGCGAGCGTGCAGACAAGGACGGATTCGGGGCAGTGAAGGTAGGATTCAGCAGAGGCCATTGCACAGGATAAGGCCTTCGATGTTTCGATCAGTAATCAGTAATCATCATCTAGGACCTAGAGTAGGCCCTTATTCCCTTTTTTAGGGTTTAGGTTGCCTTACAAGCCCCTTTAAACCAAAATGGGCACGCTTTTTATTCCTAGGTTACTCTTAGGTCTAATTTCTGCTGGAAGCATCCCAGTGAAGATATTCACTCTAGGGGCCCAAGAAGGACATAAGCATAAGGATTGTTTGGGGATATCCCCTACCTTATTGTTATTGGGCTTCATTATAAGGGGCCTTATGTGTGATATCCCTACTTGGAGGGTCGGGGGACTTAGTAACTGGTTATTTTAGGGACTTATAAGTACCATAACCCCAATTAGGGTCCCTGTTGTTGGGGTGCTTATGAGTCTACTTACTAACTACGTACTAAGTCCCCCGACCCCCCAAGTATCCTTATATTTGCTGATTCATGTGCTTGTTGGGGGCCCTGTCACTATCAAGGCAAGGCTTCCTTTCTTGAGAGTCTTACGGTTGATGATATAAATCCTGCATGACCCATAATAAGAATATGCCATAATTCCCCATAGTTTAGGGTCCTTAGGGTAATGCACGGTTTATATCATCAACCGTATTTCCTGCTTCTTCTCTTCTCTTCCTCCTGACTCGACGGCCGTGCGGCTCTAAGCCCTTGTGAACCGTGGTGAACCCCCCCAAACCCATAAAAAGCCCGAGCACAGTTTCCTCGAAGCCTTATCCGATAGACACTAAGCCCAAACCCGTTTAGCCTAATGAACCCCATGGGTTTAGGGTTTAGGGTTTTAGCATGCCCACCAATCGAAGACCATAAAGACAAAAAGCCAAGCAGATCCAAACCCCCTAGTCCCTATCAGCCCTTCACCAGCCCAAACGCTCAAATGTCCCCACAGCTTAGGGGAGAACATGTGTTCCCACTCTATTTTTAGACCGTCGCCAAGCCGAGAGCACTCTTCGAATTTTGCAGACGAAATCCAAGGAGCCCGAAACCCCGAACTCCAAACCCCAGAACCTATTCACCCTTTCGAACCCTTCAAGGAACGCCAGACTCCCTGAACCCTATAGATCCATCCCCAAGGAACCCTGATATAGAACCCTATAGTACCCTTAGAGGGATCTTAATATGGAAGCCTACAGTACCCTTTAAGGGTTCCTTTACACGAACCCTAAAAACGGCATCGCTTGCAGGCTTCCGACAAGGCCGCGAGGCTCGAACGCCGGCTGCAGAGGCCTGGAAGAAGCCACGCCTTCTTGAAGTTAAGGTTTAGGGTTCGGGGTTAGGGGTTTAGGGCTACTTAGCACAGGTTTTGAGAAGGTTTAGGGTTTTCGGGTTGAGGGTCTTAGGGTTTAGGGCGCAAGGTTTTGAGAAGTTTGAGGGTTTAAGGTTTGAGGGCACAAAGCTTTGATGAGGTTCTTGAAGGGTTCTTATGAGGGTTTTGTCGCGAAGCCAGCAAAGGCAAGGAGTCACTGCAACGCTTGCACAAACACCATGCAAGCATGTTGCCAGCTGCAAGCAGCAAAAACCTCTGCTGTATGTTTTGTGCCCATCTAGACGGGAAGAGGCAAATGCAGTGTTTGTCATACATACCACTGTGACCAGAGCTTTAGCATGTTCTCCACCATACACGCTGAAGACCTCTGTGGGAGCATGCGCTTCTTGGCAAAAGATTCAACGACGTTGCGCCGAGCTATATGTTCGAGTTCATGTTTGATCACCGCACTTCCTGTTACAGTTCATTACTTGTAACACTCTCCGAATGACACCTAGCTCCCATTTTTTGAGTGATCAGGGTTGAGAGAGCTTGAGGTAAGTCCTTCCAAGCTCTACAAACTAAACCCTAAACCCAAAAGCCTAAATCTTACTCCTGTACTGTAAGGCCCCGAGTCTTGTGCACGATCCTTCACCTGAGGCTGAAGACGGAAAAGGCCTCTGAAGAGGAAATCTCGCAGGCAGTTCACTCCCTCAGGCGATAGGGGCTGTGGTTGGATTTCAGGTTAGTTTAGAGCTTGATGGGGTCGATTCCCGTGTAGACTTTCTAAACGCTAAACCCTGACCTTTATATGTTGCTCTGATGTTCCGTTTTCAAGGTTCGAAGGTTTGCGGTGTTGAGAATCTTCCGCCGCTTCATGGCCGGTTTGTGATGACCTTTATCTTAGGGACCCAAAAAGCACATAAGCAGAAGCATTTTATCGGGATATCCCTACCTTATTGGGCTTCATTATAAGGGGGTTTATATGGGATATCCCTATCACAATTTTTGCTTATGTGCTACCTTATTGGGCTTCATTATAAGGGGCTTATCATGTTTTTCCTTCCTAGAAGTGGAGGTACACGAGGGAGTCGATTTAGCTCGCCTCGAGTAGGCCGTACAGTTTAGGGTTTAGGGGTTTAGGGTTTAGGGTTTAGGGTTTTAGGGTTTAGGGTTTAGGGGTTTAGGGTTTAGGGTTTAGGGGTTTAGGGTTTAGGGGTTTAGGGGTTTAGGGTTTAGGGGTTTAGGGTTTAGGGGTTTAGGGGTTTAGGGGTTTAGGGTTTAGGGGTTTAGGGGTTTAGGGTTTAGGGCAGACGGAAAAGAGCCATTAAAGCAATACAACCTTTCTCTGTAACCGTGCTTCGATGCATGGTGCATTTTTAGTTGGGAGGTCTGCTCTCCACACCCTCACTTCCGCTAAGTCGCAGATGGCTTCGGCTAAGCTGCAGTTTTCGGATCAACAGTCCATCATCGTCCCTACACGGCAGCGCGGAAGATGTACCGCTTTTGACGAATCCAGAAGCTATTATGTGAGCTGCAATCGCGATGACCGTATCCGCTCGAGCTCATAGGTTGGAGTCAGTTGTCCTCATGCCAGATGGACACACTAAACGCCCCGAAAACTCCGAATCGAAGGATTTGGGGGTTCCCACACCCAAGAAAGAGCTCTTAAGTTCAATCCCTAAAGCCCTAAAGGCTAATTATTTAGATTGCCCCAAACCCTAAAAAAGCCCTAAACCCTAAACCCCTCAACAAAAAGGAGCCCTAAACCGTCAGGAAGCTTGCCAGGGATATCGAGAAGCTGTGTCCGAAAACGACTATCGATGCGGGGGCCTCTTTAGGGCTTACGGCTTGGGAGGGTTCGGGGTTTAGGGTTTCAGGGTTTCAGGGTTCAGGGTTCGGGGTTTAGGGTTTCAGGGTTTAGGGTTTAGGGCTTGCGGCCTCAGGGTTCAGGGTTTAGGATATTGAGATTTCTCTGGTCGGGTTTTCGAGTTGGATGCAGGGTTTAGTAACTTAGTACCCTGGGGCCTTAGACTAAAGCTTCAAGGAGTTCGGTGTCCGGTAGGGCTGTGATGCCAACAGCGGCCCTGACACGGAGGACCCAATCTCTGAACCTCCAGCTGCAATGCCCGAAGTCCTCCACTTCTGCAGGGGCCTAAAATTCCCAAGAGGGTCCATACACACTACTATTATGGAATTAGGTCCCAAACGCCATAATGGGGATGGTCTTTTGGGACCCAATTCCATAATGGAAGTACCGATGGGACCCTCTGGGTTCTTAGAGTAGGGATTGTGGGGTATACTATACCACGCCCTTCAGACAGTGCCAAGGACAGACTAATCAATCGAGCGGCTGAGTGCTTATGCACAGATTGAACCCCTAAACCCTAAACCCCAATCCGGTTTAGGGTTAAGGGTTTAGGGTTTAGGGTTTACGGCTCTACAAGGTGTCTACGTATACATATTGAGCGCGAGCAAGAGCAAGAGCAGGATCAACAGCAAGAGAAGGAGTGCGAGCGGAGCAAGAGCAGGAGCAGGAGCAGCGAGCCGCAGCGGCAGCAGCAAGAGCCAGAGCAGTAGCCAGAGCCATATCACCCCAATGTGACAGTAAAACGAAGAATACCCCTTATAATTGGAGCGGACTCTTCGAGTTCGCTTTGGCGGGGGGTGGTTCAATATTAGGGGAGGGGATTATGATGGGGCTTGTTGGGCTTTTCTGTGGTTCTTAATTTTGGCTCCCTCGCGCTGACAGCGCGAAGGGTCAGACTCCCCGCCGCAACAGTGGGAGTTAGGATTAGGGGGACCCTTGGGGATATAGACCCTCTCAATAAGGCCCCTTTTAAGAGAGCCAGAAGTAGGGTTCAGAAGGGGTACCCTTTAAGGGGTCTCCCTAATAATACTACCTAAACAGGACAATATCGCGCATCACGTTCGGCGTGCAACAGCAGAGAAGGTCCGACTCCCGCTGCTGTACTCTCCTAGCTGGACCCTAGAGGTCCCCACCTTTTAGGGGTCCTTGTTGTGATTTCCTTAAATTACATAAGCCCTTAAAATCGTAGGCCATTTAGGTTCCAGGTAGCTCCTGCAAGTGCCAAGGCCTAGAGTACCGTCCTGAAGCTTTCAACTCAATCTCCTCAAATCTGATGGTTGCTGCAGTCTTCATGAAGCGGTTTCTTGGAAGTTTGGGGTTTAGGGGTTCTGTGTTTAGAGTTTGTGAGTTTGAGGATCTAGGAAGATGGTGGTGGTCTTACCCCGGTGATTAGGGATCACCGTTTTCAGGAGGTCGCATGCCATGGGAATGGATAGGCTGGCGATGTAGTTCCTTTTTGTTGTGGGCGGGTGTTTTTGAGGCTCAGGTTAATGTTCTCTAGAAGAATGTGATCGAATGAGATCTTCATAAACACCCGATGTTTCAGAAAGCAGATGAAAGAGTTGAAGCATGGCGAAGCATCATGGCATGCATGCGTAGCATCACAGAGGATCAGATAAGCAAGGTAACAAGTTTAATGCATATTACACATGGGAGTTTTCGAAAATTACGGCTACCTTATTCTGGGGTCCGTATAGACATGATCCTGATATGTAGGGGACTAGATTAGGATCCCCTATTTTCGGAAACTCCCATATGGAGACTACATAGATAGATGGAAATCGGGTCGTCACGAGGGGATTGTGGTCGCGGTTGTCTAGTCCCCTGAGATTCGAGGGAGTCCCCCTCACAAGTATGGGTGCCACCGTCGGTGACCAATAATATTGGTGCCTGAATACATTATTAGAAGAGGGTTTTGGGGCTCATTATACGATTCTTATATTAAGGAGCCTTCAAAATAGTATTGGCAATTATTTAGGCCTCTATAATAGTAGCATGAGTTTTGCCTTACGGGTTGAATTCCATTATTCTCCGATGGCTTAAGCTTAGCACTTCTTTTTTATGGATTTCATTTCTTGGGGCCAAACATCGCTTTGGACGAATCCGTCCAGCGCCGTGCAGATGAACACCTGTGCATGCAGCCTTAACGTGCTACATGCCAAAGGCACCCTCCCTTTTCAGGGTCCTTCCCCATCGACAAGTCATGCTTGTGGGCTGAGTGTTCGGGGCCCGAGTTCGGGGTTCCGGATTTCGTATTCTTCTGCCAAGGGTTCAGAAACTCGACTTACATGCACTCTAAGACCTAGGCAGTATGGCCCCTATATAATCCCTATATAACCGAAAAGGTTAACCTTTAGTTCCCCATGATATCCGACAAGTAGGAAGACCCTTAAACCCCTCAATCCCTAAGCTCTATAGCGCTTCGCCTCATGCCCAACTGTGCAGCTTCGCCACCTTCTGTCGATTTGGGAGCCTTTGTTACCGCCCAGCGTCGTTGAGGAGGAGGCCCACCAGTTAATGGCAGCTTTTTCGGCAGTGTCCAGGCTTCAGGGTTTTGGGGTTAATTTTTAGGGTTTAGGGTTTAGGGTTTTAGGGTTTAGGGTTTAGGGGTTTAGGGTTTAGGGTTTAGGGGTTTAGGGTTTAGGGTTTAGGGCCAAGAGTTTAGTTAGAGTGTAGAGTTGTTCAAGAGTTGCGGTGCAATAGAACCAATAGAATGCATCCCAAGTCCTTCCGGGCCATGGCCCCCTAAACCCATACATCACAACCCAACACCCCACGACCTCAAAGCGCCGAAGCGTCGGATACTCCTCAAATTGGACAGAGCGGGCTTCGGTACGTGAATAGTCGTGCTCCTGCACAGTCAGGATGTCAAAAGCTGGGGTTATTGACTACTTGCAAGGTTAAAACCGGTTTCTTTGTGCCTGGCACTTCTATGGTTCCGCGGTAGTGGTGCGGTGCTGGTACTGGGCCGGGGGGCGGGTGGTGGGCGGCGGCGGCGGCGGTGGTGGTGGCGGTGGTAATAGCTGTAGTAGTTGTCGTCTTCGACGTCGTCGTCGTGGAAGTCGTCGTCGTAGAAGCAGCAGTAGCGCGAGCACTTGCACGAGCACATACTACCAGTACTAGCACTAGCAACAACAACAGCGGTAGCGGCAGCGGCAAGGCGGCAGTGGTAAAGGCTGCAGAGGTAGCAGCAGCAGCAGCAACAGTAGCAGCAGCAGTAGTAGCAGGAGTAGGAGTAGCAGTCAGTGGCAGTAGCAGTGTTTTCGGGTCTTGTCTCTTGCGGTGTTCATGAACCCTTGCCTCTTTGGGGTTGATAGCCCGAGCCCGGGTGGGACTCGAGAAGCATAGGCTGGACCCCTTCCGAGACATCGAAGCTGGCCGTCGCAGGATGAATGCTACGTGTACAACGACGATGACGACGAGAGCATTGAGGTGCGGGGGATCTTTCCCTCCTTGAGGTTGTTCACGAACTGTAGGGAGGTGTTCAAAGGTTCTCCTGTCCTTCGGAGACTTCAAGTAATTCGGGTTGACCACTCATAGTGCAGTGATCGATAGAACCATGCCACCAGACAAACACAGTAACAGTCATGCAGTCGCACCCAAGCAGTACTCTCGCTATTGAGCTATTTGCAGCCTTATCAGGTTGCAAACGAGAACTTACAAGCAGCGTCATATGTGAGCAACTAGTTTGGCCAGCGAAAGTATTGACAACGCGATAGGATAAGAAGAAACGTCACACTCGCATGTCTTCCAGGTGCGAACCAGTGTACCCATAAAATCGTGTTGCAGCAGGATGCTGAGCCATGTATTAACTTAAGAGGCTCATAGTGCCACAGGCTTGGGGGGGCTATACGTGAACTGACGATGGACGTTGTAAGCAAATATATGATATACACTGATACACAGCTTGTTGTGCAATCGTGTACCTTCCTACTTGTGTCCACGTGCAGAGATTTTGTACCTGTGTATCTGTATGTGTGCCTCCGTGTACATGCTCACGCGCGAGTTGCTATGTGTGTGTGTATATATACATATATATATATATATATATATATATATATGTATTATATATATATGCATATATATATATATATATATATATATATATATATATATTTGTTGATTATATATATATATGGAAAGAGATACAAGCGCGGGCAGCCATCGGCAGCACGACTACATACGACGTGAAAGCAAAGACCTGCATATTGCAGAGGCTTGCTACAGTTCTCCATATCTCTCTCCAATGATGTCCGCCAGCTTGAGCGCGGAGGCACGCGTGTAAGCCCGCAGCATGCCAGGGATTTGGGCTGAAAGTTTGGGATGATCAATAGCGCTCGTCTGTTCGGTTCCTCACTCATCATCAGATTGGGCTTAGGAGATTGTTAGAAAGGACATTGCGTCATTGCGCCTTCCTTTGCCTCATTCCTTGCTGCGCGATTCCTCTTATGCAAGAAACTCTGCAACTTGATAACTTAAACCCCGATGCCCTCGTGCATCCTCGTGCATCCAATGCCCTAAGCCCACCACTCAAAGCTCGTGACCAAGTCGCGGCCCCACCGTGACATACGCCATCCGAAAGGCATGTCACCCCGTCACAACCCAATTTATCGTTATGCCTGTTGTTTTTGTGTTCTACCTGTCTCCCTCCCTCCCTCTCTCCCTCGCCCCCTAGCCCCATCCCAATCTGAGCGTGGCCTTCGTGGAGGAGGTCCAGACCACATGCCAAGACTGCCAAGACGTGGCAGCTTGATCAAGAGCGAAACACATGCCCTGTAATCTGCAGACGGACAGCTTTTATAGGGGCCTCAATAATTACCAATACTCTTTTGGGGGTTCCTGACTATAAGTATAGTATACTGAGGCCCAAAACCCTATTCTAATGATGAAGGCCCCTATATTACGCGCTTCCTCCCTTCCTCATCCTCTCAGTTGTCTTCCTCTGTTCGCTTCAAGTGTCGGATTGCTCACCCGCCGGTAGGGAGCGTGAGCTGGGTTTAGACCATCGTAAGACGGCTTAGGGTTTAGGGTTTGTTGTACCCTACTGGAGAACTAGATGCAGCGACAGTAATCGAAGTCAGTACGAGAGGAACACTTCCTTCAGATACTTGGTTGTCTGTGGCCACCTGTGAAGCTAATTCCACGAAGCTAATATGGGAGCCCGAATAATTACCAATACTATTTGAGGGGGGTTCCTTATCATAACTATAGTATAATGGGCCCCCAAACCCTATTCTAATTATTAAGGCCCCTATATTATCATCTCTTGGATTATGACTGAACGACTCTAAGTCGGAATCCATGCTGGCTAAGCAGTGTTCACGGATGAGCCTCCAAAGTACAGGCAGTCATACCAGCACAAGTGGTAGTCATGCTCCTTTCTACCAGCAACTATGTATGCAAACTTATGGGTAGTTGTCAAAATTAAGGTTCCTTTTTGGGTACCTTAAGTATTAGGTGCCGCATTACACTACGGACACAATTTTGACAACCACCCATAGCTCAGCTTCTCTCTCTCGCTCTCCCCTGAGCCACCAGCCGCCCCTCTCACCCACCGAGATGCCTTTTACCCTGCTTGTCACGAGAGGAAACCCTAAACCAAGCCCTAGGCCCTCATAGTCTAAACCCTAAACCCCTGAAGCCCCAAACCCTAAAACCCTAAAGCCCTGAAGCCCTAAAACCCTAAAGCCAGGAAACCCTAAAGCCCTGAAGCCCTAAACCCCAAAGCCCTGAAACCCCTAAAACCCTAAACCCCTGAAACCCCCAAACCCTAAACCCCTGATGCCCTGAAGCCATAAAACCCTAAAGCTTTCGGCCGCCCGCCGCAAAAAAGTAGCTCAAAAAGAAAACCTAAAGCCCTAAACACACTCTAAAATCCTTAAACCCCAAAACCCTGAAGCCTAAACCCCTAAAGCCCCAAAGCCCTAAATTCAAAACCCTGAAGCCCTGAAGCCCTTATTACTTGGAGGGTCGGGGGACTTAGTAACTGGTGATTTTAGGGACTTCTAAGTGTCATAACCCCAATTAGGGTCCCTTTTAGGGCACTTATGAGTCTACTTACTGACTACTTACTAGGTCCCTGAACCCTAAACCCTAAACCCTATGCTACCCTTGTAGAGCTCTTTAAAGGAGCCCTTAGAATCCCCTTTAAAGGAGCCCTTACTAAGTCCCCCGGCCCCCGAAGTAGAGGCTGATGAGCTCAGGGAGCTCAAGGCGACGGTACTCCAAGAGTCCCAGGAGCAGTACCTTCGAGAGCTCATGGAATCTTCGGTTATGGGGGTTGGGTTTTAGGGTTTTAGGGTTTATGGTTTTAGGGTTTATAGGGTTCTAGGGTTTAGGGTTTCAGGCTTTTAGGGTTTCGGGTTTTCGCCCTTACTGGGGCTTAGCTACTAGTAGAGTCGGTAACCTTTAGCCTTTTTGGGGGAGTACAGTCCTATATAGCCAAAAAGGTTAACCCTTTACAGTAAACCCCATAAAGTTGGAATCCGGACTAAGGCCAAAAAGTGCTGCGATTCCCTCTACATTATTATTAAGGATTGAGGCTCTGGGGTTTCCAACTTTTGGGCTTCTACTGTAGTTCCCCATGATACCCGACAAGTAGGGTTATTAGGGCTTAGCAGAATCTCGGGCTCAGGGTTCGGGGCTTAGGGTTTAGGGAGGGTTTAGGGGTGGGTGTATGACATGATTCTGCCGGAATATACTCCAAAAACCTCTCATGCTCATCATTGCAAGGCCGATATATGTGTGGGCTTAGGTTGTCGGGTTCGGGTCAAGTTCATGGTGGCGGACAGGCGGTTCTCATGCAACACGGTCTGAGGCTTTCAGAACTCCCATGCACACCGTCCTCGCAGGATGCGATCTCGTCCACGGCCGCCTCGTCCACGCAGTCGGTCATTGTCTCTTTGTAAAGACGTTAGGGACCTGCCGGTCGATTACCTAGCGGGCTAGGTCTCACTTTGGGCTCCGGGAGCGGTGAAAGCCGTTTGGAGCCAACCGGATGGAAACATCCAGATGTTTGGGCCTGTCCTTATCCCTAGGGCTCCAAGTATGCAAATAGTGCCTACTTTGGGGTCGAAAGTCTTTAAATCGTGCCTACTTTGGGGCTGTTTGGAGCCCCAGGCTTAAGACTAAGACGGTCCACGGTAGTTTAGGATTCTTGCCAGTTGCGCAATGTATCTGCCAATGACAGATGTTTGTTTTATTTGGCTGCGTCCCCGATGCGGGCAACAGGGTCCAGCGGCTGCAAGCCTATTAAATTACAGCCGTCCGCATTATACAATCATAACAGTATAGCATAACTAGTGGTGATATGAATGGTTAGTATGTGTGTATATATGTATGTAATTATACACGAGGCAAGATGTGTCATATATATATATATACACACACACATACTGTGTTACTGTACACACATATGCATACACATATGTATCGACATAGGTACATTTACACATACATACCTACGTGCATACATATAAATATACCCTACATATCGGGAAAAACAGGTCGGATCATTTGTTTCTCACCACGTGACCTTAAAGTCAACTGCTCGAGAGTGTCTTTCCACGAAGGGTTTGAAGGCAGCTGCCAGGAATCGTAGTTATGCCAACCTGCATCCGTAAACTTCATGCAAAAGGGCATAGCGCTTTTTCGCCATGAAGCTGAAGGCACTCACACCTATAGCTGATGGTCCAGTTGCTTATGCTTCAGGCTTTAGGATTTTAAGGAGTTGTGTGTTGCTTGCTTTTGAGGTTTTGGGGGTGGGGAGGTGCATCCCTGTACCCTTTGTCCTTGGGGTTGCAGCCAGACGTTTGACAGCGAAATCGCCCGGTCTGTCCTTATTTAGCCTTCGGCATCGATGGGGGGTGGAGCCCCTGTCCATCCCATGGTCCAAGCTTCGGAGTCTAGTGGTTCCACCCAGAGCTTCCACTCGCAAATCCAAACACAAAGCCTTAGTTTTCGACGTGGACACCTGGGCGTTCCGTAAAGATGCACGACCACTAGATTCGATCATCCCTCCTTTGCCTTTTCGCGACTATGACTGTTCAGGGTTAAGGGTTTAGGCAGCATTGTTCGTATTGCGTACCAATCTTCTGGGAGCACTGTTGTAACTGGCGCTTATGATAATGACACTATGCCTTACGCGTGCCTGAGTTTTCCCGAAGTGGGTAGTTGTCAAAATTAGGGTCCCTTTTTGGGTCCTTATTATAATACGGCACGTAATTAATATTTAAGGTACCCAAAAAGGGGCCATAATTTTTTCAACAACCCAAGTGGTGGTTCTAGACGCCGAGAGCCCTGACCATGTGAGAGGGTCGTCACGGAGGCGCCCGGGCGCGGAGATCCGGAGCTTCGATA